TGGCGATTTTTATCGACAGTACCGGCGATAAAAATCGACGGTACTGTCGATAAAAATCGCCACGTGTGCGCCGGGCTTAAGCTGTGTCTGTATGCTATCCGGTGCCTAACGAGCGCCAAATTTCGCAATGCGCACGCACATAGCATTATTTCGGTCTCATAAAAGTACAGTAGCTGTCTGCGCGGTGACGTAGCGAACTGAACTAAGCATGCACAGTCAACCCGTGACTCATTTGATATGGGATTAAATGTTGTGTCTGTACACTACGATTTGGTGCGCGCTTGGCGCGCGACATGCCCGTACCAGTTTAATGTTGGATCAAATTTTGCAGTCTGTACGGGGTATGCGTGAGTGAGTGAGTGAGTGAGTGAGTGAATGAGTGAGTGAGTGAGTAAGTGAGTGAGTGAGCGAGTGAGTGAGTGAGTGAGTGAGTGAGTGAGTGAGCGAGTGAGTGAGTGAGTGAGTGAGTGAGTGAGTGAGTGAGCAATATATATGGGATACATTGGCGGGCATAAGTATCAGTAGCAAGTATCAAATACTTTCACACTCATCGATAGGCTTTCGTAGCGAAAAACAAATAAAAGTGTCAATGACACTGTAGCTCACCTTGGGTGTGATAGAAGAGGGAGGGAAGGGATATATAAAGCAAGAGTATATATGGGAGAACTCCCATTATATAGTATATCTCCCATTATATATTCTTGATAATGATATTATATATGCATAAGTTTTGATGCGAAAATAAATGTTTGCGATCTGAAAGTCTGAAATCTTGACGAGAGATGGGACTACGCCTAAATGATCGCCATTTTGGTTTTCAAATATCGCGCAAATAAAAAAAATATATATTCCAGTCAAATTACTGTAACGAAGAATCTAAAACACAATATTACACGTATATAGGTATGATTGTAGAGTTGTTAACCAGTTAGACGAAATAAACGTAATAGGACGTTGTCATCTCTCACATAGGAGTAACAACTGTTTTGGGGCTAGCCTTACACATTCATATACCAAAATTTAACAAAATCGAATGAATCTAGATGAACATTTTCATTTTTGCCAAAAAGTGGACGTGGGTCGAACGTAGGTCGACTGGCGTGCTCCATAATAGGACGTTCAAATCTCTCCCATAAGAGTAACAACTGTATGCAATTTGAAACATGTGGGTCAAACGGTTCTTGAGTTAACGTTGACCGTAGGCAGAAACTGAAATGCATAGTAAAATTGCTAAAATCTACATAATTTGCATAATAAAAAATAAAAAAATAAAAAAATAAAACCCGTGTGATATGTTTTGGGGCCAGTCCTTATTCATTCACATACCAGAAATGACCAAAATCCGTTGAACCTGAACTGATTTATTGCCATTTCCATTTTTGCCAAAAGGTGGACGTGGCTCGAAAGTATGTCGACTGGCGAGCTCCAAAATAGGACGTTCAAACCTCTCCCATAGGAGTAACAACTATATGCAATTTGAAACATGTGGGTCAAACGGTTCTTAAGATATTGTTGACCGTAGCCAAATGTTGACGGACGGACGAACGGACGGACGGACGGACGGACGGACGGACGGACGGACGGACGGACGGACGTACGACGAAAAACACCCCATGGCAATAGCTCATCTTGACGATGTCAAGGCGAGCTAAAAAACAATCCTTCGTTTGCGCTTATCCATGCTCCAAATCCGACCAGCAAAACAACAATCACTCTGGTTTATGAGTAGTAGGTAAAGGTAAGTGTACATCTTACTATAATTTGGCGCTATTTGGATCCAAACTGACGGAGCCTTTCATTAACATACATACATACATACAACATTCGCCAAATTATAGTAAGATAGAACCGGTCCCGTGTACTCATCAATTTTTCAACCGAGTATAGTTTCGGAAGACCGAACAAAAAA